AAGTTTTGGGAAATTATGTGGGCCATTTGATGTAAACAAATAAACAAAAAAAGGCAGAACAAAATATTAGAAGCGATATTATAAGTAGGTTATTGAAAACTATTCAGTGGCTTTCAAAGACCTGAAGTCAGTACATGTATTTTCAAGACTAGAAATCTGAGGTTGCTCCTGAACTAGAGACCAGAGTTGAAAATACAGTACCCCACAGAAGAGGCCTCCATTTAAAACTTAATATATATTGTTTGAATCACTGGTATCTAGGTTCACTTCTATGGCCATATGTAAGAAAAAAAAAAGTCTTATAATTCTTATAAGTGTGAAAATCAGAAAGAAAGAAAATGGAGTGCCTGTTGAAAATTTTAATGACCACTTTTAGAAATGCATTTTCCTTAAAATTAGCCAGCTCTTAAAAATAAGTATAATAAAAATTAAAATTACTCTGCTGCTGGTTTTAAAAGCATGGCATTTTGACATTTCTGTGATTCAAACCAACCTTTCTAAAGAAACTTTCAAGACAGTCCCTAGACAAAACACAGTATTGAAAATCTACCCTATTTCTTTTGAAATATAAATAGAAAGTCTCCCATTGGTAACAGTGGGAATGCATGATGACCTTTCGCTAATTTGAAAGTACAGAAGTTTGAAACGGAGATATCTGAAACTAGAAATGAAGCTTATAGCTGAATAATACATACTGTACTGCTTGTCTTTTTTATTGTATAATGCCATAATTTATTTACTATGCTAATGGTGTATGTGAGGATTTTCTTTTAAGATAATTGAAACTTGTGATGGAAATGAATCCTTTAGATCACCCTGCTCCTCATTAACAACAAAACTAAAATGTCTTTACACTGTATAATTCATTTGCTCATTTTTTCCTGTAATGAACAGACATTATCTACAGATAGAAAGCTATAGGATTTTTATGGACAGCAGGAGCTTTTGCGCCTCTTGATGATGAAAGTAAAGGTTTAGATTTTTCCAAAGACTAATAGAAGAATATTTCATAAATATTCAGTAATAGCATGACACCTACTCCCCTCAAACCTATTTCAAAGCCTGAAACAAAATTGGGAAATGACTGAGGCCGTGCAGAGATGCACTATAAGGAACTGCTCTGTCCTGTTGCTGGATTTCTAGGTCAGCAAATACAACTGTTCCCTTTTGCACCTCATTCAGGAAAGGTGTCCCTGCACACGACAGGGGGCTTGGAACTTGATGATCTTTAAGGTCCCTTTCAACCCAGGCCATTCTATGATTCTATAATTATACAAGTGTCTTACAATTCTTTGGTGAAGAACTAGGAGTTCTTGTTTCAGTCATAGCCACTTCCATGTGGAGAGAGATTAAACTGAATCCAGACCTGCACCTTGGCACCGCTCCAGAATTATCATAAATGATGTTAGAAAATACACTACATGCTTCTTAAAATTTCTATAATGTCATTAGTATACTGAGGTGTTATTCAGTGCCATATAATGTAACCATAGTATTTAATGGCTCAATGTTTGGACATGAACCCACACACTCCTGTTTTCAAATTTTATATTTTAAGCCATTGCATTATTTGGCTTATGTTCAAAGGGTGGTTTGGGTATGGTATAACACAGGTGTTCATAGGTGGTGTGACAGTATGGCTGCCATGAGTTTTGGAGTTTTTAATGTATGATTTCTTGAAGAATCATGAGGAAGTTTCCTCATGGTTTTGAAGGACAATTCTTACAGAACATGATGAGTTGGAAGGGACCCATAAGGATCACTGAATCCAACCCTTAGCCCTGCACAGGAACACCCCCGGGAGTCACACCATGTGCCCAAGAGTATCATCCAAATGCTTCTTGAACTCTGTCAGCCTTGGTGATGTGACCACGTTCCTGGGGAGCCTGTTCCAGTGTCCAACCACCCTCTGGGTGAGGATCTTTCTAATATCCAACCTAAACCTCCCCTAACACAACTTTAGGCCATTCCCTCAGGTCCTGTCACTGGTCACCAGAGAGAAGAGATCAGTGCCTGCCCCTCCTCTTCCCCTCTCAAGGAAGTTGTGACTGCAATAAGTACAGAACAGATTGATATTTTAAGTAGTTTGATTTTTTTTTTTTTAGCACTTCTCAGTATTAAAAAAACTCTGCTAAGATCTTTCAATGTTCTGTCACTATCTGTTCAACAGAAGTTAAGTTTTTCAGGAAATGTCACTTTTAATGGAAAAAAGTGTATTTTTCTGAGGAGCTATGAGTATGTGAGTTATTGATTCATACTTTCAGGCCTGGTGGTATATCTGAGCAGAAGGAAGGGAAGGAAAGGGAAAAAAGAGAAAAAAAAAAGGGGGGGGAAAAAAAGGAAAAAAGGGGCAAAGAGAGAAAAAGGGAAAGAGGGGGGAAAAGGAAAGAAAGAGAGGGGGCAAAGAGAAAAAAGAAAAAAAGAAGGGAAAAGAACAAAGCAAAAGTGAGAAAGAAAAAAGAGAAAGCGGGAAAAGGAGGAAAAAATAGAAAAAAGAGGAAAAAAGGGAAAAAAGGAAAAAACAGAAAAGAGAGAAAGGGAGAAAAAAGAGAGAAAATAAAGGGAAAAGAGATTAAGGGAAAAAAGAAAAAAGGGAATAAAGGAAAAAGAAAAAAGCAAAAGAAAAAAGAAAAAGAGAAAAAGAAAGAAAAAAGAAGAAAGACAGAGAAAAAAGGAAAAAGGGGAAGAAGAGGGGAAAAGGGCGGGAAATGGGTGTGAGGGTCCAGCCGCGTGGAGGGCGTGTCGGAGCCGCCCCGGGGGCGGGGCCCGGCGGGACCGCGCAGCTCTCGCGATGCCCTTGGCCCCGCCCCCCGTCGGTAACGGCCGTACCCGCCCCCCCGCGGCGCGAGCTGTTTACGGCGGCGCAGCCAATGGGCGTGCGGGGCGCGCGCGCGGCGCGGCCAATGGGCGTGCGGGGCGGTGCGTTTGAACGGCGCGGGCGGCGCGGCGGGTCCGGGGGCGCGGGGCGGGCCGAGCGGAGCCCAGCGGGGACCGAACCTGCGCCCCGTCCGCGCCCGCCATGCCCGGCCGACCCGACGACTACGAGGTGCTGCTCACCATCGGCGCCGGCTCCTACGGGAAGTGCCGCAAGGTGCGCCGCAAGGCCGACGGCAAGGTGAGCAGGAGGCGGGGGAGGCGCGGCTGTGCCGTTGCCGTGGGTTCCAGCCCGGCGCTGCCGCCTCTCCGAGATACGCGAGCGAGCGGCTCTGGAAGCCCCTCTGTCTTCCCCTTTCGAGGCTCCGGCCGGCGGCCCCGCCGCTCCATAAGGTGTTCCTTCCTCCCCAGATCTTGGTATGGAAGGAGCTGGACTATGGCTCGATGACGGAGTCGGAGAAGCAGATGCTCGTTTCGGAGGTGAACCTGCTGAGGGAGCTGCGGCACCCGAACATCGTCCGGTATTACGACCGGATCATCGACAGGAGCAGCACGACCCTGTACATCGTGATGGAGTACTGCGATGGGGGAGACCTGGCGAGCTTGATTGCCAAGTGCTCAAAAGACAGGCACGTGAAATCTGTTTGTGGCACGCTTCGAATATCTTACACGAGGAGTCTTGGCCAATCCAGGGAGGAGGGGAATGCATCTCTTAACTTTTGAGCAGCTTTGGACCCCTTGGTTTAACCAACAAGTTTAACCCCTTGGACCCAACAACTCTTCAGCAGCGATGGGAATTGTGCTATTGAATGCTGGATCAGGCTGGATGTCAATGCTGAAATAGTAAAAAAAACTAAAACCATAGGTCTCTTGTGGGGCAGAACCTGTTGAGGGGTTTCTGGCTATACATGGGGTTGAAAACATACTGAGAAAGTCCTAGAGACTGCTTGGTCTGCAGGTTCTGGCTTCCCTGCCAGTAAAACTACTTGGATCCTGTGTTGTATTAGAACACTAAAATATGTGGAAGGGAGGGAGCCCCCGGTGGTCCAGGGGAAAATTCACTGCACTGTCACTGCAGAGATCCGGGTTCGATTCCCGGTCGGGGCCCCTCCCCGGGCAGATGGAGCTCGTTAGCCCGTAAAGGCAATCCATCTACGTCCTGAGGACCTCACTGCCACCGTCCAAGCGTGCTTGGCCCCGGCAGATGAACCTCAGGATTAAAGGGTGGGCTCAGTTCCGCGCACACTGTGTCTCACCTAAAAAATCCAATGAGCAGGCTGGAAGGTGGAAAGACCTTCCCCGGTTCTTCGTTCGCGAAGAGACTGGCCATTATGTGGAAGGGAAAAGTGATTATGAACACAATGTGAAAAGCTACTTTATGTGCTTGCATATAAAGCCTGGGGAGACATCAAATTAATAAGGCTTCACCTTGATCTAATTTTAGACTTAGGAGCCTGCTTAAGTATAGTATCAGTTTTCACATTTCATGTTAAACAAGTACATGACTCCATCTCTGTTACTTTGTGAGAATAGTCTAAAATAGTACTGCAGCTGCCCAGCAACATCAGCATTTTCATTTCAGGAAGGTTATATTAAAAATCAGCCATGTCTTGGCTGTTATTGGATGTTGTTTGTTATAAACAGCTGACAATATACTGTTACCTTAAGTGATCAAAGGGACTGATATCATCACAAAAGGATCAAATTGATATTTGTGTTATAAGTAATGAAAATACTATGTATACAATAGACTGTTTGGGTAAGGAAGAAAATACTACAGGGATTTTGCAACAAAAGTATAAATACATAGTTGTATTTATACTTCTATATTTTTATAGAAGTTGTATTTATACTTCTATATATTTAGCCTTCCAACATAGTTGCAGTGAAAAAAACCCCAATTTTAAAAATAAAATGCATAGATACCTGTTGCTGACAGTGGTTGTTTCAGTGATGTTTTATAATAGGAATATTTAAAAAGTTACAGAACTAAGACTGGCAGCAACTACTTGAACTGATGTATGTTCAAAAAATATGTTCATCTTTCAGGCATTTCTTGGAAGAAAGCTTTATTCTCCGAGTATTGACTCAGTTAACATTGGCCTTGAAGGAGTGTCACAGACGGAGTGATGGTGCAGTCACTGTGCATCGTGACTTAAAACCAGCAAACGTCTTTCTGGATGGCAAACAGAATGTAAAACTTGGAGATTTTGGACTGGCTAGAATATTGCATCACGACACCAGCTTTGCCAAAACATTTGTTGGAACTCCGTATTATATGTCTCCAGTAAGACCTCCCTTCTATACCTTATCTTCCCTTTTTGCCCCTCCAAGGAGTGTTTCCTACAGGGTTGGTTTCAGAGTCCATCTATGTTTGGGATGTTTTAATGAAGACTTACTAGTCTGAAATGCAGGTGACTTTTTTCATAGACTGTAAATGTTCTGAACACAAGGTTATTTTGCAGTTCTTTTCATCTCCTTTCTTCCCCACATAGTCAACTGCCTTCTAATTAAAGTTACTCTTTACTGTATAAGCTTTGTTATGTTCTTGGGATATTACAGGTGCTGGAGTATATTGAAAAGAAATAGGGAATCTAGAGAACTTCTATGTTTTGTAGTGTTAAGGTAAAGAGCTTAAGTTACCTCTTGATGGTAGGATTTTAATTTGTAGTGAAATGAACAGGAATTACTTATTACCCAGACATAGTGCATTTCTTGGGGGAAAGATTAATTTTGACTGAAGTAGAGTTGTATCGACTAAAGATTGGTGCAACATGTCAGTCTTCTGCAGTGAAGTACTGCCACAACTTATTAAAATCCTGCTAGTATGATTAAATGTGGAGATTAATTAGGATGGAATCTTAGAATAAACCTAGTAAGTAGTGATTTAATTCAGGTTTGAATAGCAGTTGACTATCCTGCATTAGTGGAACGCTGTCTTATTTAATAAACCTAAGATTGTTCTCTTTCCTTAGGAACAAATGAACCACATGTCATACAATGAAAAATCTGACATTTGGTCTTTAGGATGCCTTCTTTATGAACTGTGTGCTCTCTCGTAAGTATGGTAGTGTAATAAGGATTATGGAAACATAGTTGTTAATGCAGGTATGATTAAATTTTGTATAGATGAAAGCTTAAAGGCTTCAGGGTCTAGTCCTAGATTTTTATTTCTGTATTGGTCTTGACATCAGGTAGTGAAAACAAACCCTTGATTGCAACATTTTAGTCTGATACTTCTTTTCTGAAAATACGTTCTGTGAAACCAGCGTAAGAATTCAGAAAAATTTTTCTTTTTCAGGCCTCCATTTACAGCTTACAACCAAAAGGAACTGGCAGAAAAGATAAGGGAAGGGAAGTTCAGAAGGATACCATATCGCTACTCAGAGGAGTTGAACGAACTTCTCAAGCAGATGCTGAATGTAAAGGTATGACTCAATTACCAGTGTTTGCACCTGTATTTCAGTATTAGTTCACATTACTAGATTTTCTTCTCAATTATGAAACAAACCAACCTGAAGCGCTGGTTGTCATCATTGTTATCACCTTGTCACTGGCAGTGTCGCTTGTAGGAAAAGGAGGGAGAAGTTGTGCTCTGAGTCCATGGAAAAGAAGAAGAGCAGCTCAAGCTTTTATGCCAGGTTCACAGGATGCAAAAAGGCTGCCTCAGTATCGACTTATATAGGATTTCCTAAGAGCCTGCTTATTGAGGCCTTGTAATTTCAGGGTTAAAATGGTTCTAGTGTGTTTGGAAGTTGGAAGGGGTCGTTTTGTCTTCATTTTGGGTTTTCCTTTATATGGCTAATGTATAGCTTGCTGCTGGCATGAGGGTGTTGAGAAGAATACTGCATGGGTGCTTGTTACAGCTTTGTTGTCCCAAGTATCCAGCAGGTATGGATCCTTCAGGAGTTAAGTGATAGGCAGAAATGCAGAGTGGTAGCTCCAGAATCTACTGACAGTTGTCTCTGTAGGCTCACACACCCCATTCAGGCTCTGAAAGGAGTGGGTGTCTGGGCTGGGGGAGACAAACCTGTGGCTATGGATCTGAAGGCTGGTAACAGACTCCTCCCTTAGCCCTTGTCATCTGATGCTGCCCCTTCATAACTCCATTTTTCCGCAACCTCTTCACTGTATAACATCTCAGCTGTTCTTGCTTGGGAATCTCTGGCCATAATGTTTCTTGGTTACAGATGGAATCTATTAGTAATGTCTTTCCTTTAGGATTATTGCCGACCTTCTGTTGAAGATATCCTGCAGCACCCCTTGATAGCAGACCTGGTGACAGAAGAACAAAAGCAGAATTCTGACAGAAGATGCTGGAGATCGTGGGAGCCAGAAAGGCTGCAGTACTCAGATGCTGCAGTGAATGAGCTGAAACGGAAGGAACAGCAATTGCAGGAGCGAGAACAAGCCATTAAGG